CCCCAAAACCCCAAAACCCCAAAACCCCAAAACCCCTCTAGCAGCTTCAGTTGTGATAAATTTATTAAATATGAATGAATCTAGGAATTCCCACAAGTCGAGCTTTGAAGATTGTTATATTGGCAACCAACTCCTTGAAGAAGAAGTCACAGTTAGTGATAGGAAGACTGCTACTTGAGGACTAGCCTCAGTCCGACTCTTAAGTCTGAGGACTAGCCTCAGTCCGACTCTTAAGTCAGAGACCATCTCGCTTTCTGAAAGGCAGGGCTAATAGCAGCCCACAGCACAAGGTAATCTAGTTTATTACTAAATATTTTCTTCAAATCTTTTAAATATTTCTTAACATTTCCTATAGCTTGCCCAAGTCGATGATTTGCAAAGAATTAAAAATGGATCCCCGAAGTTCTACCTTAGCCAGAGTGAGAAAAATACCTCCCAGGCTCAGAAGGATATCAGAAATTTACAGAAAATAATCACTGGGAAAAGGCTATCTCCTTCTTCCAAATTCAAAACCTCTCAGAATCGAGTTGGCAAATATTCTCGAAAAAATCTAGAATGAAACAGCTGAGGAATCCTTACTGGAATCCTCATCAGATTGAATCGAAGCCTCTTGAGGTAGTTATATTTGGAAAAGAAGGCATGAGGACTCTCAAATACTGCCACTGATCTTCAGGGTGCAGACAAGCCTATTGGGTACCTTTTGAAACTATTTACGATGCGAATGCTTCGATCCTGAACTAGGACTTTCTTAGATATAATTACTCAATTTCTACACAAATATCAAAGTTTGGCTGCTCAACAAGGATAAGAATGCTCTATAGCTGCCTATAATAGGTTTATAAGAGGTGCTAAAAGAGCCAATGCCCTCATATGAGGCTGGAGATACGAAAAATATTCCCCACTTAATGGATGGCACTTTTTGATTCCTCCATGAATTTCTTGATTAGATTATAATATTTTTGTTCTAAATTTAGAGTCAAAATCTCCTAATAAACCAAAATTTGTTTATAAATTATCCCTTGTAGGAGAACAAGACTGGAAGTAAGCCAAGCTATAAGATTTCTCACTCCTTTTATCTAGAAATGTACCCTAGAAATTCCTTGCTTGAATCCTTGAATGGAGTGATTATTAGCATTCCCAGATTTGACAATTTGTAAGAAAAGCTCTTCATAGTCTCGGCAGGACATCTTGAACCATATCAGGAGCTAATAAATAACATTTCTGGTCGTGTCAATTCAACATAACTTTCACAAGAACTTTCTGAGTGGCTCCTGCAGGCCTTCAACCAGCATTGCACTGGCTATACTCCAAAGCTCCTGCTTTGGAGTATAGAGAATCTAGTGTATAAACCTAAGGAGAGAGATTGTCATTGGTCCCCTTCAGAGCTTGATAATCAAGCTGGTTTATCAACCTCTGACAGATTTACCAAAATACTTCTCATTGACGCCTCTTACTTTTCTTTGCTATTAAAGTCCAAATGTAGATGGACTAGGATAACTTGTGATGCCTATTCGACAAACTGTGGCTTATGAATTTTCTAAAGGTTCAAGCTCTCAGCTAGTATGCATATTGCTCTATAATTACTTGGAGACACTGTTCGGAATTGCATCCTTTAAAATCAGTCGGTCTAAAGAATTTGTTGTAAACTCTGGTCTCTTCTGGAGCAAAGAAAGATCTTTTGTGTTAGCATGAATCGGTTAAAAGTCTTTTGAATGAGTTATCGATGGATAGTGCTAAGGCCAGTCAAATTAGAAATCCAAAATTATCATTTAAAATTACTGAAAATGACGGTAAGCCTGAAGTTCTCACCTTTGCCTCATGAGATCGAGTACTTTCACATAATAAAATCCCAGAGAGCTTTTATGACCGTTTAATAGATACATAAGTCTTCTTAAAGTCACAAACCACTCTAAGACTGTCAAAAGATCAGCCAGAGTCACTCAAATTAGAATTTTAGCTCTTCTTGCATCAAATCATGTAATTCTTTAATACAAGTTTGATAAATCTCAAGGTGCTAGTACACTTATTTCAGCTATCTCATACACAAGCTAGACAACCTTTTAATCTTATTATGACTGAAATTGGTCCTTTAAGCTTCAAACAAGGAATTCTGAATTCATGAAAGAGCATCAACTGACTTTACAGCTTACTTAAGCCCCATCGAATAGAGAAAAGTCATTATTTTTAGTATCGCCCCACTTGTCCATGCCAAGGAGAAAGCCAGTGGCTTTAGCTTCATCAGTCTGAGATATCTAGAGCCAAGATACTCTCCCCAGGTGGTTAGCTGAGCATATCGGAAACTAAGTTAGAACCAAGATTCTCCAGAATGTGTTAAGTTGACCCATAGAGATCCTTTGAGTATTAGAAGGACATCTTGGTTCTAAAATAGGATGATAAGCCATCTATGAGCTCAATAAAGCCAATGCATCATAATCAGAATTCCTCACAACAGAGCATTAAGATTTCGAAGCTTATTTATAAGTTTTGATGGCCTTCATTTCAGTATTATCCCTACATGTAGGGGTTTTGGGGTTTTGGGGTTTTGGGGTTTTGGGG